ACGTGGCTGAGGTATGGTTTAGACATGAAATGGTTTGATAGTGTAGTAGGTCACAGGGAGAATGGCGTGGATTGGCTTTTGGTTCAAAGCAAAGAAGGAAACAGAATGACCACGAGCAGATTCCAGAAGCAGGCCTGTGCATTGCAAAAGGCACTCCAGAAACCAGGCCCACATCGTTCCACTCCCTGGGACAACAGCAGGAGAAGCAGGCTCTAGGGTGCTGGCCTGATCTGACCTCACCACGACACATTCATAACCTTTCATGTGTTTCTGGAGGCAAAAAACAAAAGCCAAAGCCAAATCCATTACTGATGAGTTAGTTCTGATGCAGATGAACCATATAAGAGAGTGGAACTTCCCCATAAGATTTCCAAGGCTAGAATCTTTATGGAAGCAGACTGCCACACCTTTCTCCCACAGAGCAGCTAGTGGGTTAGAACTTCAAACCTTTCCATTAGCAACCAAGTGCTTACTCCCTGCCATCGAGTCAACGTTTACTCAACGGGACCCTATGGGACAGGGTAGAACTGCCCCAGTGGACTTTTGAGACTGGAACTCTTTACCTGAGTAGAAAAGCCCCACCTTTCTTCCGTACAGAAAAGCTGCTGGTATCAAGGTGTTGACTTTACAGGTAGCAGACCAACTTGTAACCACTATGCCACCAGGTGAGTTTAAATCAACAACCACCCTTGTTTAAGGTCTTGGCCCTTCTAGAAGAGCAACATCATCCCCTGATGTAAATGCCAGCCTTGGAAGTCAATCGAGTTAGGCTATATCCTTGGTCTTTTCTGGGAGAAGTAACTGGCTGGAAGAAGCAGCCATTCTGAGTTGCTGAAAATACCTAACAAGACACTTTAATGAGTGAATAAATCTGTTTTCCCTGATGTACCTGGGGAAGCCATGAAACATCACAAGTGAGCTACTCACCAGCCTTAATTAAACTTGATGTTGAAAAAGTCGGGGCCCTGTCTGACAGTTTCCCAATCACTTCAGACTCGACAGTAGGGTGACTGTAGGGGGTGAGAGGATATATATGACCAAGCAAAAGGAAGTTTGATACCTCCCAATGGAGCTTTACATTGGTGCAGTGTAAATGGACCATGTCCCTGCAAAGAGCAACAGCATTTAGGGAGTTTCAGAGAAACTGGGTGGTGCAAATGGGTAACACATTTCCTTGCTAATGAGAAATTGGTGACTCTGGCTCACTGAGAGATGCTTCAGAAGAGAGGCCTGGGAATCTACTAAAAGTGTTAGCTATTGAACACCTCCCAACTGCTGACCTTGCGGTTAAAAGCTGTATTAGTCTGGGTACTTTGGAGAAACAAATCCACAGCAACTCATGGATAAGAGAGAGTTTTATGTAAAGAAAAAGTGCATCATGAAAACATCCCAACCCAATGCTGCCCAAGCCCACTAGTCCAACATGAACCCATTAACCCAACACCAGTCCACAAAGTCCTCCACCTCACAAAACAGAGGCAATGATGCCGACTGCAGAAGGAAAGCTGAGTCAGTGAACGAATAAGCATCTCAGCACTAGCAGGCGTCTCCACATGGCTGCTCCAGCACCCAGGGCTGCATCGGGATAGGTCCATGTAGCTTCTCCTTGGGGATGCCTTGTAGGAAGTCAATCTTGCAAGCTGAAGCAGGGAACTGCTAAGGCAGCTGCACCCAGTGCAACCATCACAAAACAAGAGACCCGAAAACTAGAAAGGTGAGGCTCACCACCCATTTATCCCTCTGCCTTTCAATTAGCCCCACATGTGATTATCGGACAGGTTGGCACAATTAACTAACTCAGCAGCCAACCACTGCACCATGGCACCAGAAGGGCTCTCGTTGGAAACCCACGGAGCATAGCTTTACCCTGGACACACAGGTTTGCCAGGAGTGGAATTAACTTGATGGCAATCGGTTAGCTGAGGATAACTCATTACTCCACGTGTTTTGGATGCATTCATTTGTTTAATCCCCACCAGCAACCATCATAGGAATATGCTGCTACAATAATTCCTCATAGATGAAAAATTGAGGTCCAATTAGTCATAATAATCCATCCAAAGTTCACCAGTCTGCAAAGTGCCAGAGCCAAGAGCTGAAGGCAGGGCCTGCACACAAGAGCCTGCGAGTCTGACTACGGGGCTTTCAGAGTTGAGATTACACTCAGCCTTCCATTGGTTTTAAGTCAAAAATACCTTTGAAAGATTCCAATAAAGTCATTCAAGGAGAAGCCAAAGCATGCAAACACTCAGGCGCCGCACCTTGTTGTTATTGTGGTATGCTATTAACTAAATTCCAACTGATCTTGACCGTGTATGACAGAGTAGAACTGCCCTACACCGTTTCCAAGCTGTAATCTTGATGGAATCAGATCTTGATGGAAAATTCTTTTCTACCAAAGAGCTGCTAGGTGGATGCAAATGGATGATGTTTTGGTAAACAGCCAAGTGCTTAACAATTGTGCCAGACACCTCCTTTCCTGTGTAGACCCCAGCTGAAGAAACCCTCTAGAGGTACAATGCTGTCATCTAAATCACGATGGACTTAGTGGCATGCAAAAGCAGCAAAACAGTCATCACAGGAGCAGATTGCCAGCTCTTTTCTCCTGTGGAGCTGCCAGGTGGGGTCAAATCACCTAGCGCCCAGTCAGCAGTCCAGGACTTCACCATGGCACCGCCAGATATGCTTCATGGACTGCATAGGGAGTCTGCTTCTTATTTCTTCTCTTACGGATTGGTGAGGTTCATGGGGACGTCAGGTTAGCAAGAATAATTAGTGCCAGAAGAAGACAGACACCCTGGTAGGGGAAGGGTTCAAACAATTGAATGAAAAGAAATTCATAACTCAGAGAGGGCTTTAGTAGCCACGTGGAAAAGATGTTACATTTGAATGCAAGTTCGAGTTATAGAGGGTGGTACACAGTATGGAAGGTTCAGAAAGCCGTTTTTGATTAAAAAAAAAGAGGATGAATGGCCTGACCCTTTACAGCCATCCAAGATGTAGTGGCTTGTCCTGTGAGGTAGCAGGGGCCCATTGCTGGATGAGTCCCAGAAAATGATGGCCGCCAGATGGGTGCTGAAGTGGTGACGGTGGGGGTGCTTCCGCACAGGGAGGTTCTATATTATCGAGGTTTCTACCAACCCTAAGTTTCCTCGATCTTCAGGCAGAAGATATCTGAGTCTTATCTGAGTAATATCTGAGTCATATCTGAGTAATATCTGAGTCTATCCAGTTGCATTTCAGCACCTGTACCCCCACCTCTCTTTCTAGTTTCAGGTATCCAGTTTTTCTTTGTTTCAGAGGTTTCAATACTTAAAAGGAAGCGCTCTTTAGAACGGATCATCAAAAAGCGACCAAAGCTATAAGATCATTTTGGTTTCTTCTCGATGCAGATCTGGAAATAGTTTTTAGAAATCTCATTTCCTGCTCTCTCTCAGGTTACATTTGGCCTGCATAATTCTCGAAGACCAAACTGACTTTCCAAATATCATTGAGCCTCCTTCCTGTTTTCCCATAGCCTCCTCAATCGGGCTCTTCTAAGTACCCACTTCTGCCAACCTGGGTAGAGAAGGAAGGCAGGACACGCCCATGGCTTTTCCCAGACCTGGGGCCTGGTTTATTCAGTTTGTCTTCTTTGGTTAAGGAAGTAGAGTGCCCTGCCTTTTTAGGGTTGTGCTAATACCCTAGTGGCTGGCCTAAGAGTACTCAAGACCCCAAATCAAACTAAACTCACGGCCATGGGGTCAATAAAGAGCCTTTGTACGGTTTCCAAGATGCTCCACCTTTGCAGGAGCAGACAGCCACGTCTTTCTTCCAAGGTTTGGGTAATGGCTTTGAACTACCAACCTTGAAGTTAGCAGCCGAACACTTATTCTACACTCCCACCAGATCTTCTTTACCCAAGCTCAAACCCAAACCAAACATTTCACTGTCAAGTCTAGCCCTTTAAGACTGGGTAGAACTGTCTCTGTGAGTTTCTGAGATGGTAACTTGACGGCAGTCGGAAGCCCTGTCTTTCTCCCAAGGAGCGCCCATTCTTTCAAATTGCTGACCCTCCAGGTAGCAGCTCAACCTGTAACCTACTACACCACCCCAGCCCAGCCCCTCATGGTCTTTTATTACATTATTATCACCAGCTGTCCTCAAGCTGTGTTGCTACCTCTCCCAGCCCTGCACACAGCAGAATGAAATGCTGCTTGTTCCCGTAGCATTCCCAGGATTCGCTGATGATCAGAGGGTTGTGATCCATAGCATTTCCTTAGCTGATTCCCGAAAGCAGACCATCTTAGTCTACATTATCATCAATCTCATAGCAACATGGCACTGATGTCGGGTAGTTGAACATGAAGCGCATTGGTCAGAAATTGAGCCTGGGCCTCCCACCTGGATGGCAAAAATTCTATTGCTAAGCCATAGGTTCTCAAACTTATTTGACCTACTTTTCCCTTTACAGAAAAAAAAAATTACTCCACGCCCTCTTGGCAATTAAAGACTATTGTACTATAGTCCTTAATGCAGGATAAAGTGTAGGTGTCTGCTTTTTCAGACTCCTGGATCATTTCCGCATCCCTGGGGTGGGGGTGGAGGTACTGCCGATTTGGGAAACACTGCACTAAACCATCGAGAGTCCAGCTTCCGCTTCAAAGATTCATTGACCCATAAGATCGAAGGAAGTACACGAAAGTACCAAATGGTGCTGCCTTGAACAGAACCTGGGGAGGGTGCGCTCATAAGATGTTTCACGTGAAGAAGGTATCCACACTAACGTAGGGAGCCTGGGCAAAGTGGCAATCTGGCCAGAGTCTATGGTCCCGGAGGCCTATTTGCCTTCTGTTTTATGTTGGCCTGTGCAAAATAAACAGTGTGCACATGGAGCGCTAATTGCCTCATTTATTCTTCCATTTAGCCAGAGGATTGTCGGAGCTTATTCAGCCTCCGGATGGAAAATTACATGTTGGAGAGAAAAGAGTCACATTAAAGGAATGACAATGCAATTCAGGTTCTGCTCGTTCACATATTTTATTTATCCAGTGAAGAAACAAGAGAGACAGAACTAGAAAGGGGCACATGTTCGGAGAGAATGCCAAGGTCACACCTTCTACTTTCCTCAGCCTGCTTTTAACCCACAGATTAAATACAAGAGTGGAGAGGAGAGGAGTTTCTTGATGGAGATTAAGACTTCTTATTTGTGAAAGGAAACCCCTGTTAAGGTTAATATCTACCCAGGAATTTCTTATCTCAGATGGTTTACTTTCGTCGTTATAAAATTATGACAGCATTTTATAGACTGCTTTTGGTGCGCTATGTCCGGGTGCAGAGCGTTAAAAGCTGCTGACTTGGTATCTTTCTGGGAGTCTGGGTCTGAAAGGATCGCTGTGGGGAACATCTTGGGGAAGGGACAAGATGGCACATAGAATAAACACGATCTCGGAGGCTTGGGCATAGAGGTTCCTCAGCCATCAGAGCCTGGAACCCTCATTTTACTGATGGAGAAACTGAGGTCCAGGGATGATATTCAATGGTCGTGCCAGGGTCATGCAGCTAATTATATTAGGAACTTCGATTTCCTCCCTTTTCTGTCAGTGCTTCCGGACACTAAACACATGGATACATTTTTTCTTCTTCTTTTCTTCAAGAATCTAGGGTTGGCGATGTGAGTTTTCTGTCATTGTTATTATTGTTGTTTTTAATGTGAAACAAAGACAACCAAAGAAAATGAAAAGATTTGTGGAGAACTCTGTATGTCATCTGGGGCACTCCATATCAAGATAGAATTCAAAGGCTAGTGTTTGGGTCAGAATTAGGAAACTTCAATTTTCTATGCACACATATGACACCATCTCTTACATATAATAAGACAGGAGTGGAAGACAGCACCAAGCAGGACATATCAGGGAAAACAATCTTAAAAAAAAAAAAAAAAGAGCGCATTTGCCATTAGTAAGGCTGGTGTAAATGGCTGAGCACTTTCAAATAACACAGAACACAACACAAGGTCGCCATAGATGGGAGGGACGTGTCAGAAGGGCTCCTGGTACATACATAGGAGCACCTGTTTGAAGCAGTTGAACGTCTGCAGGGATAGACTCAAGACATCTTACTTCACCTTCAAAAGGGGCCCTGAACTGAGTGAAGCTAAGCTTGCTCCCCGTTGTCTCACTCAGCAGAACACAGCTCAGGAGTGAGCAAACACCAAATCCCAAGGCATCTCAAAACCTGGCCATCTCCCACCTAACCATGGGCCTAAACGACAGTGGGGACGAGTGAGGGTGGAAACTGGTTCAGGTTGCCGATGTAGGCTGCACATTTTGAACCCTGGTCAAGGTGACCGGAATCTTGGTTTCCCCTGGGCCCGGAGCCTTGGTGATGGGCTGGGCGTGGGCCTTGATGTCTGCTATGCGCTCTTTAAACTGTTGCTGGAGGCGTTTCTCTTCTTTCGAGTAGCTTTTGACAAACATCGACATGAGCAGGCACCCCGCCATGGCGGTGCCCCCAATGCAGAAGAGCACCGCGCCCGCCAGCTTGCAGGTATCGAGGGCGCCGTTGAATTGGACAGCGTGTGTGTCCACCACCACAAAATCAGCTTCACCAACGGCTTCGATTTTGGGGGGCACCAGGAAGCCCACGGCCAGAACAGTCAATCCAAGGATCACGAACACCGTGCCCGAGATGAGTCCGACCTGGTGGAAGATCACAAGAAGGAAAACAGAATAAGCAAGGTGCAGCCCATCCCTGCGTCCTCGAGGGCAGGACTTGTTTGCCAAGAGATGTGGACGCTCCTGGTCACCTCAAAGGTGCAGGTCACATCCAATTTCTTGACAAAGTGCAACGAAGGCTTCCCTGATTTTCATGCCAATCAGAAACCATAGCGTTGTGTCTTGATGTTTTATTTCATCGGGAGAATGAGTAAAACAGCCCTGATAGGCAAGAACCGGCCTGCCTCTGATCACCGCGCATCCCTGTGGGCCTGGTACTCACAGCCAGCCCACGACTCTCCTCTTGGGCACAGAAGATGTCTTAAACATCAACAACCAGCAAAAACACTCTGTGATCACGATGAGGTGAGACAAAACAAAGCTGGGTTGTCCTTTTGTCTGCATGCACAAAGCAAGGTCATATTGCAAGTTATAAAATACACCCTCCTCTCCTAGGTAAAAAGTATTGCTGCTTCTACGTTGGCAAGCATTGTTTAGGGATTGCTATGAGTATCCATGGGCTCGGTTGCAACTCACTGCGACCCCATGGACAGCAGAAAGGAATATTGCCTCTTCTATTCGTCTTCATGATTGCTGCTGTGCTTACTCGTGGACCTGCCACTGTGCGATCTGAGCAGCTTCCCGCCTCTGGGGCTCGTCGTTTAGCACTACACTGAAGAGTCGTCCGTACTACCCACAGGGTTTTCATTGGATGTTTGTTTTAAGTAATTCGCTAAGCCTTTTCCCTAGTCTGACTTAGTCTGGCTGGTATTTGAGATTCCGTGGGGATTTGAAATACCGGTGGTGTAACTTCCAGGTTCATGGCAATGGCGAGCCACCACAGTATGACAAAATGACCAAAACAGGTCAAGGAATTATAGCTTGGACCTTCTACTGATCTGTCCTTCCTTATAGATAAGATTTGAGCTATTCAACCAGAGAATTGTCACTGATTCTTACAAGTATCTAATTAAAAGTCAAGTAGACATGCCCAAATCACTCAACCAAAGCCCACAACCTGAAATATGTCCTCCTTGAGAGACGACATCTTACTGAAAGGTCGAATGGTCCTCTACAGTGATGTGAGGACAACCTGCTTTGAGAAGGAGCCGTCATTGCAGGTGTCAGGTAAGAAAACAGAGTCTCATGAAGGGTAGGCCATTCAGTCCAGGGTTCTTTCTCCCCTAACCTGCAGCTGCTTGAGCTGTCCTTGTACAAATGTTATCACACGTTAGTAGTAGCAGGTGGAGCGGGGGTATGACCGAGCAGATGAGGAGACTGCAGACCATGTCAGGAGACACCTTTAGAAAGGGCGACACCAAAATGACCATGCTTCTGTAGAATTTCTAAATAAAATTAGCCTTGTAAATAATCCTTTTATTAGGGGCTCCTACAACTCATCACAATCTGTACACACGTCATCTGTGTCCAGCACTTTAGTACATATGTTGACTTCATCATTCTCACAACACCCACTTTCCACTTGAGCCCCTGGTGTCAGCTCATTTTTCCCCCTTCCTCCCCGCTCCCCCCTCCTCCCGAGCCCCCGATCATTTATAATTTATTATTATTTTATCATAGCTTACCCCATCTCACGTCTCCCTCACCCACTTCTCCGCTGTCCATCCCCCAGGGAGGAGGCCACATGGAGACCTTGTCCTCTGTTCCCCCTTTCTCCCTCTCCTTCCCTCCACCCTCCCGCCATGGCCACTCTCTCCACTATATATATATATAACAAAAAGAAAATGATGATGGCAACTTATGTACAAATGTGCTTGACACAATGTATGTATGTAGTGTGATAAGAGCTGTGTGAGCCCCCAATAAAATGATTTTTAAAAATTAGCCTTGTAGTTAACTATAACAGCAACAACGTAGTTAGTAAACCCAACTGACATGTGTCAATATACCCACGAATCTAAAACTCTGTTCTAATTGCAGCCGTTAGATTTTATGTCAACTTGAACCTGTGTGAAAGTGTAGTGATGGAGTCCAACCTATCAATCAATTGGTAGCTTGGTGATGCCTCCTTCAGAGTGTGGGCGTTTTATAAGAGAGACGGAGGGAACCTTCCCCCTTTTTCTTGTCTTTCATCTTCATTTAGTTGGATCTCCGCGTCAGCCTCCAGGGGCAGTCCCATGTGGGCCGCAGGCCTGGAAGCTGTTGGCATTTTGTCATTTCTACTGACCTTGGAGCGTTGTGATTCTGCACCCACAGGTCAGTGATCTCTCAGCTTCCAGTTTCCCTTGGATGACTCATTCATCTGCACTGCATGAGTCTGAAGAGGGTTCTGGGTAGCATCAGACCCACTGGGTCTTCTTGATGCAAAATCATCCTTAATCTAAAGTTACATATATGCACGTCACTGGTTCTGTTTCTGTAGACCACCAAGCCTAACACACTAACTTACTTTTTGAATCTTTTAATGTGTTCTGCTTATAGATGTCGTTGTTATCCAACTACAAAGGTGGTTCAAATCATGTGCCTTTATCTGCACTTGCTACAAGTATGCATGGTTTTTATTCTTGCTGATGTCTTTATAGTCACTGATTTTTGTCAAATTTTCTAGTGTTTGAGCTACAATACTGTGGTGACTTGTATTTGGGAACCTAAATCAATATCTTTCTTGGGAAAGAATTAGTAATTAGAGGAAATGGAGAAGAAAAATCGGGAAACTTCCACTTGGTTACTAATTATATTGTAACAAATAATCTTATTTCACATTAAAGATTGTACAAAACAACTTTCTTATTAGTATTTAGGTAATCTAAGCAATTTTATATTCAAGCAACTTACACCTATATTTTCAACCTAATAGTCTATGATTAAAATTGACAATAAATTTTCCTAAGGATCCTGTGTGGTTTGCTATGGGAGGAGGTCGAAGGGAGGGTATGTGCCACCATGAGTTGGTGCACTGAGTGATGCCAACCACTTTGCTACTGAGATGGAATGTTATATGGTATCAGCCCAAGTTTTAAGAAAAGGTAACACATTGGAGATGGAATGCCATATACTGTTGTGGTTTAAGGTTATAGGGCTTGGAGATCAAGTTCATGCTTGAAGCACAACATTAGCACTTTTTACTTGTATGATATATGGAAAATCACTTTAGCACCTCATTATGAATTTCCTTCTCTATAAAATCATGAGGGATAATAGCACCTTCTTCATAGGGTGGTTGTGAAGACTAAATCAGACTGTGCATGAAAGCACTTCATGCTGTTCTGGCTAAGTATCAAATAGTATAGTAAGTAGTCATTATTGCACATTTTTTGGAAATATATCTCATAAAATTACTGTGCTATATTGATGATATTATTACAACATTGCTTAGGACTTGGAACAAGGAATAGCTCATGTGGTTCTTTGGGAGTCCTGGTGGGGTAGAAGGTTACGTTCTGGGCTGCATACTGCAAGGGCAGAAGTTCACATCCATCCGCTGCTCCTTGAGACAAAAATGAGGTTTTCTGCTCCCATTAAGAGGTATAGTCTTGGAAACCCACAGGGGCAGTTGTGCCTTGTCTTATAAGGTTACTATCAATGCAATGACAATGAGTTTGATTTGGTTCTGGAATACAGTTCTTTAATGGTGAAAATTTAAAGTATATTTTCTAAATTTATTAACAACAATGATAAAAAGAGCTTTAATGATAGAATGAAAATATACTCATAAACAAACCATTCTAATAGAGGGAGGAAAGGAATATTAATATTTATGGAGGATCTTTTCTGACCGAGGCCGGTGGAATGCTATGTTTTTTCTGTGTGTTCTCCACTTAATTCTCACAGGTCTCTTATAAGAGGTAATTTCTCCCCCTGTCTAAATTCCACTTTTTAAAAGTAAGATTAAATGATCAAAAAAGCATTGTCCCATAGTTGGGGACACAACTGGATTCCAACCTAGCTCTGTGTGACTTCAAAAATCCATCTCTCTTGATTTCATTCTATCCATAAGATTTCACCAATTGTTGTCCTGGACCATGAGTTATATTATTTTCATTTGAATTTGAGCAGAATCTTAGTCACCAGGTATGGGCAGATTTTGCTTGAATTATAAAGAAAACGACTAAAAGAACACATGAACACCTTTACACACAATAAGTACCACAGGAAGAATGAGATGGTAAAACACAGAACAAACATTTTGTTTTTTGCATGTTTCTTAAAATGATGGCAACTAAATGAATCTTCAAAGACAAACCACTATTTTTAGCTTCTGAAAGATGACTCACATCTTGAAACTTTTAAATGTGGAGAACTAAATTAAATATCCATGGTGACCTGGCTCCTGTGCTACAAAATCACCTCCCTCCTCAAACACTGGGCACTGATTCTCAAAAACGGAGGCCAGCAAAATGTATCCTAAGATTCTAGGCTTTTTGAGAGCCATGGAGCCCAATGCTCCTGGGCTTCTATTTCTATCTTGCCTCTCCATAACTCTCATTTCAGCTCCATGCTCAATAAATATTCTTGACCGACTACGTTAAAGTCAGCAGACAGTTGGAAGTGGAGCCAGGTGATTGATTCTCAGAGTAGTCTGCTCTTCAACTGAGCAACACTTCATAGATTAAAATCCTCTCTTGGAATATCATTCAGAAGCTAAAAGGCAAGTCATGCCTTGCATATGGCAGAACGCCTGCACACTTCCAGAACTGCAACATGTCTGGTCTCACTGAGCCTCCCCCTTTCCTATTTCTATCGGTGTATGGGAGAGAGGCCTGCAGACTGTGGGGTGGAGAAGAACTACATAATGAATAGCTACATAACGAATAGCTAGGAATCCAAGGATTCTGACATTTCCATCAATGAAGTCTAATGAGGATCCTCTGGAGGGAAATTCCGTGTGGAAAGTGAGTCCCTGGACCTGTTAAGACATGTTCAGGAGGATTTTGAATGGTAGGATTAAAGGAGCTATGATGAGATTGAAAGTTCGCTGCTTCCCAGAAAATGCAAGGGTTGTGAAGGGAGGGAGATGGGAGTAT